TCAAATTGATTTGTCAAATTTTTTCTAGAAATTTGTGTGGTCTACAGTCTCTGTCTGATGCTCACTAATCTTTGGGCATTGTTGATTTGGAATGCTGGGTTTGCCTTGGTGACTACTGACTAATTGAAATTTCTTGAATGTTGTAGTCTGTAGGCTCTGTCTGTAATATTGCTCCACGCCTCAGTGCCTCTGTGAATCTGTAATTCTGTGAATTGCTATGTGAATTACTCTATGAATAGCACTATGAATTGCTTCCAATATTGCTATGTGAATTGCTGAGGGGATGAGAATGGATCATTAGAGATTGGTGAACTTAATGAGAGTATTTGGCTTGATTTTACTTGATTCTTGATTTAGTTATAACTTGCTTTTGCTTCCAGTAACTTGAAATTGATGCTTTTGATTGATCTACATCACAAATATTTTGCATTCCAGTAACTGTGAATTGCTGAGGGGATGAGAATGGATCATTAGCGAATGCAATACCTTTTGGCCAAGAGATGAATGTGGGGACAGATGATTTCATTCTTATTTTGCATTCCTAGGATATCTATACAGATGAATATTGATTTCAAGAAAACTGTTTCGATATCTGAGAGGAACGTGTTGTGCTATGGCCAGAATCATGTGTAAAAGGGAGACTGCTTAGATTAGTTTTAATTTCTTCTGTTTTTATTTTACTTGCTGGTTAACAAGTTCAGAAATATTGACGCAATATAAATTTGTTTTATTCTGTTTGAGATTCTCTTCTCCTTATGATTATATTAAAATATCCTACTCGAGTCACAACCAAAGCAAATAAGTGTCAATTTGAGCTTCACCTGAGAAATATTGAGACTGACCCTGTGTAAACAAGACTTGGCTAGGCTTGGTTCATCTGCTGCCCTAGATTTGGTGCAGCCGCTTCTCTTATTAGGACAGGTGGACATGCCAATGAATTGTAATCCATGACTCAACACTCTTCCAGCAATTGTTTCCCACTTTTCTCAGTGTTTAAGGCTGGGTGTTGTCCTGTTTGCATATTTGTTTTAGCTTCCCTCTCTATGAATCTTTATCATTGTTTTTTAACTATTTGATTCCCATGATTGAACCTGTAGAAGGATTGTATAAACTTATACTTGCACATGGTCTGTTTTTGAACTTCATTTGATCCTTTACTATCTCCATATTTCCGTTCTTTCTATATTGGTTGCCAAACGTTGTGGATGAGCTGAATAGAATTTGAAAGTCTTTTGCACAACCGTCCCTTGATTAGTCCTCTATGTATCCTCCACTTTTACATGTTTCTACATTTACTATAATTTTCTAGATTTCAGGTGGAATTGAACTTTTGTTTTTTGCTTGTAGTTTTATGGAATCCTTGGGATAAGAAGGCAAAGGCTATGGCTAATTTTGGAGATGATGAATGCAAGCACATGCTGTGTGTTGAGGTTGCTGCAGTGGAAAAACCTATCACTTTGAAGCTTGGTGAGGAGTGGAGAGGAAGGCAGGAACTTTTTGTTGTGCCTTCAAGTTACTGCAGTGGGCAGCTTCATCTTCAGAGCAGCTGAAAATTGGTCTATATTGAAATGTCCATCTATTATCTTGTTTCTTTTGAACTTTAATTAATTTTGAGTGTGTAAATTTTAATTTATTAACTTCCTCATAAAAGAATAATTTAAATAGTTTTTCATTTTTTTTTAATTTTTTTTTTCAAATTTGCGACGGAAAAATTGTAGCTAATGCCGTTGCTAATTAGCTACAATTTTGTCTGTCACCAAACACCGACGGAATATTTCGTCGCTAATTACCGACAATGAATAATTTCGTTGTTAAA